AAAATTATGTGAAAATCATCTTACTCACTCATTCACAGAAAACAATATATTGATTAAAGACACTTTTTGTGTAGAAAAGGTATATGCAAGTAGGCGTGAATGATCATGAATAATGCTGTGATTCCCACCTGAGAAGACAAAAGCCTGCATAATGAGCTGCATAATGAGCCTTTCAGTCAGGTATGTGACTGAGAGGGAATTGCTACAAGAAAGAATGTGAGGAAAAAATAAATTTATATATTTTTTGTTTGTAGTTTATTTAGAATATATATAAATATCACATAAAATAACTTTAGATTCACTTGCGAGTGCAGTTAAACAGTTTATTAGGAACAAAAAAATAAAAAACAACACAAGAGTCAACTTGAACAACATTTTGAAGAGACTCATGGGAGTGTATGCATCGCATGGTCTTAGCTGTGGTCCAGGTTCCTGTGCAGGCAGGAATCTCAGAGCCTGTGAAACATGTCAACGCCAGTCTGTTTTCCATGACCGAGTGGGCTGCTTTGCTTTGGCTCTCTTTGCAACACGTTCTTTTGCACTTGTTACGTCCTCTGGACATAATTGTTTATTTATTATTATTATTATTTATCTTTGCTGTGGTGATGTGTTTGTGTATTGTGCAGTTTCCCTTCTCTCTCTCTCTTTCCCTTTCCCTCTGCGCAGTGTTAATTGGACGCAGCTGCAGGTGGTTATGTGGAGGATGGAGCGCGCTTAAAAGCTGAGGAGGATGGCATTGAAGTGGGTCGTTTGACATGTGGGCCGTCGGTTGATTTGGTTCGGCGTTGAGAGCGTGCTGTGTGTGCGTCGTAGAGCTCCGCGGTGTTGGTCGCTGCCGTTCTGCCCGCCGTCTCCTGCCCCAGACATTCATCGCATTTGTTGGATTTGCGGTAGCTATTGGGTTGCTGCCGTTTGAGTGAGAGTTCTGTTGTTGTGTTTGCTTTAATGTACTTTGTTTGTTTTGGAAGCCGTAGGGAGGAGGTTGCCATTTACTTTATGATCCCTTGTTTTCTCCTGTTTTTGGACCGCTAGGGAGTAAGGGGAGATTAATGTGTTTTGTTTGGGTTTTGTTTTGTTAGGTAAGTTAATGGTTAATTATGTCTTAGTTGGCTTCTCTTTTGTTTGTTATTTTGGCCATAACCCCTCCTGAAGATTCACGCTTCCTGTTACGTTGTGAATTTAAAAAGCTTCTTCCTTTAAATACATTCTCGCTCCGTCGTGTTTGTGTGTGTGAGCTGGGACAGAAGAAGAGGGGCGGGCATAGTCGCTAAATTTGATTTATTCTCTTTTTTTTTCTTTGTCCGGAATCCCCGACCCTAGACTGGGGAGGACGTGACGCATGCAAATCCAGATTTCCCAAATACAATACATGAAACTGAAATGGGATTTTAATCTTCAATATGGCCTCCAATGTCCCGTGTATGTCTTTCTAACAGAATATATGGTGATGATTTGCTACTTCAGAATTAGCAATGTCAGAAATTTTCTTTATTCTCTATTTTTTCTTTGTCCGGAATCCCGGACCCTAGACTGGGGAGGACATGACGCATGCAAATCCAGATTTCCCAATATAATACATGAAACTGAAATGGGATTTTAATCTTCAATATGGCCTCCAATGTCCCGTGTATGTCTTTCTAAAAGAATATATGGTGATGATTTGCTACTTCAGAATTAGCAATGTCAGAATGTCTCCAACATCCAGATTCTATTTCACTATGGCACATTTGTGCAGGGGGTATAAAAAAAATCTAATTCAATTTTTCCAGGCTAATAACCTCCACTGGTGTGAGCCTGTGGCTTCCCATTGGGATGTACTTGTTTTTAACCAAATGGGAGAAGGAAGGAAAAATGATTATAACAAGAGCTGTTAAAATCATTTTTCCTTCTCTCATTTAATTCTTGCATAGGAGGTAGAATCTGATCTATAATTTTGAAGACCATGATCAAATTTAAAAATTACATTACTAACAGTATTAGCCCTATATGCAGACAGGAATATCTTCACTAAATCATTCTGTGCCCAATCCCTGCTCTTGTTCAATGTTGAATTAAAGTAGTGTCTTATTTGAAAGTATCTGAACAAGTCATGATTATCCAGTTTAAACTGATTCTTAAATTCTTGGCAAGTTAAGAAAATATTATTGTTCGTAATAGATTAGTAGTTATCCATGGATATTCTTTACTTATGTTTTCTTTATAGATTATCGTCTGCAATTACTGCTTGAATCGGTACTTCAGGGGGAAAAAAAGAGAAATCAATCTGTTTCCATGTAGCTTTATAGTATGGATTGCACCAGCAAACTATGGGTCTTAACTGGGAAGCTATATAATAGTCTTTAAGAGATGGGAGGGCCAAATCTCCCCTTTCTTAACTAGAGTGTTTTATATAGAATTCTGGGTTTATTTACCTTGCCAGATAAAACTTATAATCCATTTGTCCCAATCTTACAATTTTTCTTCTGAGATCTTCACGAGAAGTGTCTGAAATAAATACAAAAGCCTCGGGAGCTTGTTTATTTTAATAATATTCACTCTATCCCCTAAATTCAAAAAAGGGATAACATTCCACCTCTGAATGTCTGTTCGTAACTTCGTATTTAGGATTCTATAGTTTACATCAGACAAAGTTCTAGTATCTTTTGGCATATATATTCCTAAATATTTTATTACCTCTGTATTAAAATTAATCTTGTACTTGACCCTTGTTTCTTCAGAGGGGGTAAAATTGTAGCAAATGACCTGTTTTTTGCATGTTTACTCGTATCCCCGTAAAGAACCAAATGTATCTAGAACAGGGGTTTTCAACCTCTTAGGACATGCCCCCTTTCTATTTTCTCTTTATGGTACATTCAGGTTCTGTAAGCACTACAAAAATGTATCCTGAAATGTAACTAGGAAGTCAGTTTAATTGAATGTAACAAGTTAAGGCTGCTCTGTGCCTGCTCAAAATTCTGTGTAAAGATGCAATACTGCATATTTAATGTGTGATCTTCATTCGTTTTTTCTGTAACCATTTATAAAGTAGTCAAAGTTTATGATGCATAGTGTTTTAAAAATTGTCCAGATTTTAAAAGTTGTGTAGTGCATTCCAGACTAAAGACACTCTCATTGAAGAGTAATTCTCAGTTAAAAAGGGATTTAAGTGAAACTCGAGAACTTCGATTTATTCCAGAAAAAGCTCAGGAAAATGTTAAATCTAACATGGCTTTACAAAGCTGATTTAAGTTGAAGTTCAGATACAGTTTGGATGGAAATAGTATTTGCAATGATGAAAGCTTGTTCTGATTGGTTGTCAGTGCATTTCTATAATGATGCGGTGTTGTTAAAGGGGTCATATGATGCGATTAATTTTTCCTTTCTCTTTGGAGTGTTACAAGCTCTTGGTGCATAAAGAAGATCTGTAAAGTTGCAAAAACTAAAGTCTCAAATCCAAAGAGATATTCTTTATAAAAGTTACAAGACTGCACTTTAAAAAAAAAAGTTGAATGTTTAACGTTTTTAGAAATATCATGGAATGCAAAGCAATGCTATTAATACAAATGTGCTATTATTGGTTTAACAATCCAACAGTACTTTTTCTTCATTTCATTTTTTGTTCAGGCACTTTGATAGTGTTCATGTATTTTATGGTACAGCCCTGTGTCTTTAGCCTTATGTTTTATATAAAACATTTTATTATTTTGTTCATTAAATGTCAACTGTCATTCCCAGATCAGGAGAATCTTCAAACTGGATTTTAAAATCTGCTTCTGCTTCTTCAAATACAATCACCTGTTGAATAAATGAAAAACCGATCTTTCAGAATTTGTCTTAATTTGTTAATGGTCAGAATTTGTGTTTATTAAGATTATAAATAATATTACATGGGTTCAACCACTGATCTCTATTCAACCCACTGGTTCAACATTGATATTTGCACTAATTCTTCAAACGCATAACCAGTTCTTAGGTATCAAGGATATTTATATAACATAAATTTATATAGGAAATGTATATAAACTGACCTGGTTCATTCCACTGTTGAGGAAGGGTCCTGGTAGAAACAGAGCTTGCTGTGGTCCAGCATCCCAGTACCGTCCGATGTTTTGGCCATTAATGAAGACTACACCCTTCCTCCAACCCTGCATGTGGACATAATATTCAGTACAGTACAGTATTTCTGACCAAATTTAAAGGAATAGTTCACCCAAAAATTATAATTTACTGAAAATGTAGGCACCCTCAGGCTGTCCAAGGTGTAGATGAGTTTGTTTCTTTATTGGAATAGGGTGCCGTCAGAATGAGAGTCCAAACAGCTGATAAAATCATCACCATAATCCACAAATAATCCACATGACTCCAGTCCATCAGTTAACGTGTTGTAAACCCCAAAAGCTGCGTGTTGTAATAAACAAATTCATCATTAAGATGTTTTTAATATAAAATTTAAAATACGATCAAACACCATTTCTAAGCAAAAACAGTTCTAAACAAATATGTTCATGGATTTTGATGTGAGAGGACAACAGGAGATGAACTTTTTCACATTATTACTATTATAGACTATAGATATTTTGGCAACAGTAAAAATTTAAATGTCTTGATGGGTTTATTTCTTACAAACATGCATCTTTTCACTTCATAAGACTAATTGATGGACTGCAGTCGTGTGGATCACTTGTAGATTGTGATGTTTTTATCAGCTGTTTGGACTCTTATTCTGACGGCACCCATTCACTGCAGAGGATCCACTGGTGAGCAAGTGATGTAATGCTACATTTCTGAGGGTGAGTAAATTGAGCAAATTTAAATTTTTGGTTGACCTATTAAGCCTATTAAGTACCTACTAGCACTTCATTCTGCTGCTTTTTCAGTCCTACATGAAATGCTTGTGCTCTACTTGATAGCACTACACACTGGCCATATTGTGAAGTACAACATCAGTTCACCAAAAATAAAGATTCAGTCATCATCCCGCATGTTGTTCCAAATCTATATGACTTTCTTTCTCATGTGAAAAATAAAAATAATTTGTCTAAGTTTTTTTTTAAAACAATGGAATGGTCTTCAATGTTTTTTGGTTCCCAGTGTTCTTCAATATATATATATTTGTTGTGTTCTTGTTTGCAGCAACATGAGGGTGAGTAAATGATGAGAGAACTGCAAGTTTTGGGTGTTCTGTCCTTTTAAAGGTGATAGAATTTTAATATTAATTCTTCCACCCTAGTTTAATATGCAGCCAACTTGAGGCTAATTGTGGAGTAACTTTTAAGATTAACAAACCATAGCTTGTAACCAGAGCTTTGTAAAATGGGTTGGCCGACACTCCATTCATGAAGCCAAAGTTTGTCCCTCCGTGGAACATGTACAGGTTGATGGACATTCCTCGTCTCAGTATCTCTCTCACCACGGCAACCAGGTCTGTCATTAGAAAGGAAATTTCACATCAGTGCTTCGGCCCTTCATGTTAATCATGGTAAATGACAAGTTATCAAGGGCTTTTTAAATAATTAATATTAAAAAAAAAAAGTAGCTAAATAAAACAAACGTTTAAATTAATAAAAAATAAAAACGTATAATAAAATGAAATTATTGCTTTATATTATTCACTTAAAAATATTAAAATATTATTTATTATTTGTTTGTTTTATTAATTTCAATGTTTTGATTGTGTCATATGATAACATCTTACCCTCTGCAGGAAAACTATGGTGTAAACCGCTCCATCCATCAGACCTCCCCGTCCAGAGCTCCATCACCAGCACAGGACTGTTGGGCTTTATGCACATGCGATTAAAGTAATGTCAAACGTTTTATCTAACACTTTCATTTACAAAACCGACCCTAAAATATCTACCTGCACTGCTTCAAGATATTTTATGTCATCATGATTCATTTTCTTGAATTATTTTAGACCTTCATGGTCGTCTGATGTTAGGAGAACTTCACTGATGCCCCTTTCTTGAAGAGCCTGGAAGTGTCTAAGTTTTTAAAAAAAACAATGGAATGGTCTTCAATGTTTTTTGGTTCCCAGTGTTCTTCAATATATATATATATATATTTTGTGTTCTTGTTTGCAGCAACATGAGGGTGAGTAAATGATGAGAGAACTGCAAGTTTTGGGTGTTCTGTCCTTTTAAAGGTGATAGAATTTTAATATTAATTCTTCCACCCTAGTTTAATATGCAGCCAACTTGAGGCTAATTGTGGAGTAACTTTTAAGATTAACAAACCATAGCTTGTAACCAGAGCTTTGTAAAATGGGTTGGCCGACACTCCATTCATGAAGCCAAAGTTTGTCCCTCCGTGGAACATGTACAGGTTGATGGACATTCCTCGTCTCAGTATCTCTCTCACCACGGCAACCAGGTCTGTCATTAGAAAGGAAATTTCACATCAGTGCTTCGGCCCTTCATGTTAATCATGGTAAATGACAAGTTATCAAGGGCTTTTTAAATAATTAATATAAAAAAAAAAAAGTAGCTAAATAAAACAAACGTTTAAATTAATAAAAAATAAAAACGTATAATAAAATGAAATTATTGCTTTATATTATTCACTTAAAAATATTAAAATATTATTTATTATTTGTTTGTTTTATTAATTTCAATGTTTTGATTGTGTCATATGATAACATCTTACCCTCTGCAGGAAAACTATGGTGTAAACCGCTCCATCCATCAGACCTCCCCGTCCAGAGCTCCATCACCAGCACAGGACTGTTGGGCTTTATGCACATGCGATTAAAGTAATGTCAAACGTTTTATCTAACACTTTCATTTACAAAACCGACCCTAAAATATCTACCTGCACTGCTTCAAGATATTTTATGTCATCATGATTCATTTTCTTGAATTATTTTAGACCTTCATGGTCGTCTGATGTTAGGAGAACTTCACTGATGCCCCTTTCTTGAAGAGCCTGGAAGAAATTATATTAAAAACTCTGCCATCAAAGAAAAGTACGACATCTGAGTTTGGAATGTTCATTCATACCTCTTTGATAAATGACATGTAGTTTCCATCTCTTGCATGTGATCCATATTTGTTTTCCACTTGAACAGCAATGACAGGCCCACCTTTCTTAAACTGACAACATATAAGCCCAACATCAAACATCACTCAGAGTACATTTTTAAGTACTTGTTATGTTTCAGAAACAATCCTACCTGGAAAGGCACCACTTTGGGAATAAGCTTATTGAAGTGCACGTTTACAGCCGCTATGAATGCTTGGTAAGTGGTTCGCAGAAGCATCTCTCTTATCACGCAAAAGCCAGCTGTAGAGGGAAGTGGTTTGTTTGGGGTGATAGAAATGGAACAAATTTCTCTTTCCGTGTGATGTTACACTTTATTTTGATAGTCCACTTTAGACATTCTGCTAACCATTAAGTAACTTCGCAAACTAAATGTCAACTAACTCTCGTAGAGTATTAGTAGACTGGTAAGTTAAGGTTAGTAGTATAAGTTGACACGTACTTGTAAAGACTACTTAGTAGAATGTCTGTTGGAGGACCATCAAAATAGTGTTAGCAGATATTAAGCAAACAGACTACTAATACTCTAATGACTGCTAGTTGACATGAAGTTGCAAAGTTAGTAGAATACCTAAGTGGACTAAAATAAAGTGCTACCAAATGTGAAGACACACAGGATATTTAACTGTAGTTCCTTGTAACAAGTTTTTTTTTTTAAATTCCCCTCATGACATTCATTACCAAAAAGCATGGCACATCATTTTGATTTGATCAAATGCTGCATTTGCTTGCTGCCTCACAATTTTTTTTATCACATTTTCTCTGGAATTTGCAGGATATGACTTAAAAGTTATGCTACAGTAGAGCCGTTTATATTCCATTCAACAGCAGAAATCACCTGGGCAGTCCTCCAAGGTCAAGGCCAGAGCATATGTATGGTCCTGTGCGTAAAATTACCCAAAGTCCCACCTCTGCAGCCAAGTGAAGGAAAGCTCTGTGAATTGGATGGGCAAAAAAAAAAAAAAAATCAGATAGAAGTCACAGAATTATAGATAAAGTATCAAATGAATAGCTAAAATAAATAAATAAATATTTGAAAGTAGTTAGAATTGGTAAAGAAGCACAGTTAATTGTTTAGAAATGGATTATTCCAATTTTAATAAAGCATTTAACTGACTAACTAACTAAATAAATAAATACTTGAAAGTTGGAATTTGTAAGGAAACACAGTTAATTATTCAGAAATTAAATTTAGCAATTTTAATAATTAAAATATTTAACAAACAAAATTAATGAAGTATTTGAAAGTTGGAATTTGTAAAGAAGAACACTTAATTATTTAAAAATGATTGCCATTGTAATAATTTAATTATTTAAATAAATGGAGTAAGTAAATAAGTAAAAAAATTATTAAAATAAACAAACAAATACTTGTAAGTTGGAACTTGTAAGGAAGCACAGTTATTTATTTAGATATTAATTACTGCCATTTTTTTAAAATTAAAGCATTTAACAATAAATAAATAATTGAAAGTTCGGATTTGTAAAGAAGCACCGTTAATTATTTAAAAATTTATTATTTCCATTTGAATAATTAAAGTATTTAACAAACAAACAAACGAATACTTGAAAGTTGGAATTTGTAAAGAAGCACAATTAATTATTTAGAAATTAATTCTTGTCATTTAATAATTAAAGCATTAAACAATTGTTTTCTGTAGCCACCTGATCACATGACCTTTTAGAATTTCACACAATCGCACCATTTCCAGCTTTACAAGGCCTCACTCTGATTTTAAAAGTTCTTTCAATTTTGCAATGATATTTAGTCTGATTCTACAGTTGGAGGGTTGTGTTGTTATGGAAGAGCGAGGATCTACATTAATGATGTATTCCCAGTGCTGTGTAGAGCCCAGATAATGATGCAGAACCAGAATTAAGTCCCTCCCGACAGCAGCAGACCGACAGTATTGTCAGAGGACCGGCAACAGGAGCTCTCTGAGATGTTTGTCTAACTACTGTAAGTGAAAGTCCAACAAAGCATTAAATAGAGGCGAGATCCTTCCAGGATCAAAATACACAGATCACGTATAGTGCTAATGTTCTCACATGTGGGAATTAGGGAAAGGATAGGGAGGATTTCTTACTTTATATCAAGACCTCCCTGGAAATGTAGCTCTCCTTTCTCTGGTTGATGGAGAGGCCATGGCACATCACTGCAAGATAAACACAGTCTTATTACTGAATGATTCTCAATATCATTAACTGTGATTGTCCATTTCAAACTTTCATTTTCACCATCCGGTCCTTCCAGTAAGCTCTGGGCAGGCGGAAGTAGTGTAAAGAGCCCCCCAGAATACGAAACGGCTTTCCTCCCAGAGTGAATTGGGAAGAGTTCACTCTCAGACCCGTTGATCGATTTATCCTTATCTTTCCCGTCGGACCACTGGACACACAACAAGAGAAACACGCACACACACACACTCACGAAAAAAAATTTTAAAAAAATAAATAAATTTCCCCAGGAAATTTTCATCAACATTTCGCTAGTTAAATCATTTAACAAACAAACAAATAAATACTTTAAAGTTGGAATTTCCTAAGAAGCACAGTTATTGATTTTGAAGTTATTGATTTCCATTAGTAAATAAATAAATAACTACTCAAAATAAAGATGCACAGTTAACTATTTTGAGATTGATTATTGCCATTTTAATAATTAAAATATTTAACATAAACAAACAAACAAATAAATAAATACTTGAAAGTTGAATTAGTAAAGAAGCACTGTTAATAATAACTTTGAAATCAATTATTGCCATGTTAACAATTAAAAGCAACAAATAAACAAATAAATATTTTAAATTTGGAATTCGTAAAGCAAAGGTAGTTATTTTGAAACTGACTAATGCCATTTTAATACTTAAAGCATTTAACAAAAATACATACATACAAACTTAAAAGTTGGAATTCATAAAGAAGCACAGTGAATTACTTTGGAATGGATTTTTGCCATTTTAATAATTAAAGCTTTACATACATACATACATAGAAGCACAATTACAAAGAGAAGGTGAAAACTAAATGTTCCCTGTAAATGCACTTCCACAATATTGGTTACATTTGATTTCACAGTGTTTGAAGTGTCCGGACAGTGTTATTGGGCATACTAACAGTAAATTATGCATTATTACATCAACTGTTTGTAAACCAAACCCTAATACTCACCCTAACCCTATAGCAAGTACATGTTGATATTTAATATTACTTAGTAGCCTACTTAAACATACAAATGCACTGTAACAAGGACACGTTTAAATGCAGTGTAACCAAATAATTAAACAGCCCTGCTTATGCTGAGATGACTAGTGAATTACGCATTTATTTTTTTATGCATTGATTCTGTGCAGCTGCATGCAAAATATTT